AGATTTTGCAAAATGTGTTTAACACGAGTTAAGAAGTGAAAGCAAAAAGACGATCGTAAGCGGGGGCGTTTTTAGTATTAGTATTATCAATATACGCTTTTTAAATTGTCATCTCAAAAGCGTTTATAAGCAATGATTAATTTTAGGTCCAATTAATATATCTGATAATTACTTAGGAAATAATTTAGATTAAGACTTATACATTATTGTGCAAATTTTAGAAACTATTATTGTATTTTATAGGCAACCAATGTAAGAGAAGAAAAATATTAACTTAATTTAAAATGTTAGTTTATTCCCATTTATTACTCAAATAGATTGATTTAAAATTTATTAAGTAAATATTACCTATGAAAATATTATGACGCCATAATCGATGTATTCAAATCAAAATAAGCTGCTCAGCCATTAAGCCATTACTCCAGGTTGTGATATTAAAGTTAGTTGATTGGTTGGTTGGTTGACTGGTTGGTTGGTTAGTTGATTGATCGATTGACTGGTTGACTGAATGGTTAATGATGAGGAGTAAAAAGAAAGATGGCGTCATCTTCTCTCTCTTTCTCTCTATCTTTCTTTCTCCCTCTCTCTCCCTTTAATCTTTTTTTCTATATTTCTCTTTCTTTCTCTTTTTCTTTTTATTGAATTACTTTTTCATCCTCATTACATTGGCTACCTCTGTCATTATTTACACAATCATCACGATCATCATCATCACCGTCATCATCACGATCATCATCACCATCATCATCATCGTCGTTAACATCATCATCGTCATCACAACGGCTGCCCATAACGGATAACAAACATGCGACAAGCGTTTTCTAAAAAAGGTCGGTCAAACAGTATCAAATGAAACAGGACAGCCCCCAAACAACAACAACAACGTTACAATGATTACAGCCAAAACAACAGTAGTTTCAGATATGATGACGATGACGTGAATACAGCCGGCCGTATCGGTATCGGAACAAAAATCGGTATCGGAACCGGTAGCGTCGGTAATACATTAGTGCTGTCAGCGGATCTCAGTCGGTCCAATTAACCGACGACGACTTCGCAGCGAGCAGACCATCCACCTTTCACAATAATATAGCAATAATAATAAGTATTATGATAATGATGATACTTATTATTATTATAATAATAATAATAATAATAATAATGATAATAATAATAATGATAATATTCATCATCTCTATCATCGTCATCATCATCAACATCATTATTATTTTTATCATTATTATATTATATAATATAATATTATCATTATTATTATTATCATTATTATATAATGATAAAAATAATAATGATGTTGATGATGATGACGATGATAGAGATGATGATAATGGCTATAGAAACCAGAGTAGATCAGTTGTATGGTTAGATGATGATGGGGATGATGATGACGACGATGACGATGATGACGATGATGAAGATGATAATGACGGTGATGGTGAAAGAAAATGATGGTGACGAATTGAGAAATTTTGACTTTCAACCATTTCCCCAGATGTCAACATTGTTTCGTGATTCCAAGCTATGCTACTGGTATTTCTATTTGTCTAATACGGGTGCTGGTTTTTTTAGTAGCATGTCACTAGACAGCAGAAAATATGTTGGTGCTAGCATGCATTTTTGAACAACAACAACAACATCAACAACGTCAACAACAATAAAAACAACAACGTCAACAACAGCAACAGCAGCAGCAACAACAACAACAACAGCAGAGCAGCAGCAGCAACAACAACAATAGCAACAGCAGCAACAACAACAACGTCAACAACAACAACGTCAACAACAACAACATACATACCTCGTCAATGACCAAACATCTTTCCAACTTCTAACTACACACCAGCGCCTCCACAACCTTTGAAAAAATTCAACGAAAGATTAAGAGACATTAACAGGTATGCATACATACATACATACATACAAAAATATACAAACATACATATACAAACATACATATACAAACAAAACATACACATTTATACTGACATACATAAAAATATACTGACAGGCAAACATACAAACATACAGATATACATACAAACTTACCTGGGCATACATATATATACAAACATATCTGGGCATATATATACAAAAACATAAATACAGAAATGGAAGCATACATATGTACAACCATACGTACATATATACAGGGTTACAAACAAATATATACACAAATACACAATGAAATATACACAAAATTGTACACAAAACAATATTATACAAACATTCACTAATTCTATTTTTGTATTCCTTCATTTATTTATTCATTCAGTCAATCACACTAACACAATAAAATCGGAATAACTGCAAATAACTGAAGCGTGAACACGCATTTCATTTATACGTATGTATGTGTGTGTATGTATGTGTGTGTTTTTGTATATATGTATGTGTGTGTATGTACACTATCATCATCATTGTATGGCTTATTGGTATTGTTATGCAAAATTATTCACATTTCATAAATAACACATACATACACACGCACACATATACATATGTTTGTGTATGTATGTGTGTATCTGTGTGTGTATCTGTGAGTGTGTGTTGTGTGTGTGTGTTTTGTGTGTGTGTGTTTATGCAGGAGATGAAGCGAGAAGTTTAGAAAATGAAGCGAGAAATTTAGTAGATGAAGCGAGAAATTTTTTCATATCATAGTCTCAATCGTTTTGTTCATCTTGTTGCAACTCTTTTTCAAATATTCATTTCATTCGTTCATTCGTTCGTTTACTCGTTTGTTCATTTCTTTGTTTGCACATTCATTCATTCATTCATTTTATTACTCATTCATTCATTCGTTCGTTCGTTCATTCATACATTTTTTATGTCAAGCAATAATAAAGTATTGTCGCAAACGCAAGTGACGTCAGAGCAACATCATAAGCTTAAAATACGTCGCCATCATCATTACATATATTCTTATATTTATACTTCTTTTCCTCTATCTAATCCCAATAGTGTTCTTCATAATCTATCTCTATGTCTTTCTTCAATTATCGCTTAGTCTGACTCTATCTGTCTTAAACTTAATCCTTCTGAATTTGAATTAATTTGTTTTAATAGATCTAAACACTCTATTACTATTTCTCCTATTATCTTAACTGATTCTTAAACTCTTTATGTTTCTCAAAAGTTTCGTAGTCTAGGCTTTATCCTTGATTCAGGTATGTCTCTTTCTTTTCAGATTAATATTGCTGCTAGAAGTTCTTATTTTCATCTACGTAGAATAAAAAAACTTTTGCCTTTTCTTGATGATTCAAGCGAAAAATAAAAATATTTTCAAATTTTTTTTTAAACAAAGAAAGACAAATTCCAGGTCTTCTCATTGATGCCGGTAGGCTGTTTCAAAGGGTCGGACCAGCAACCCCAGTATCTCTCGAAGCAAACTGCAATCGTCTTACGACCGGAACCACCAGCAAATTCATATCATCCGACCGTAGATGCGAACTTTGAGCAGGCTCTTTTTTTAGAAAATTTGTCTGAAATATATCCTGGTGACAACCCATTTAACGATCAGTGTACGATTACCGCGATCTTGAAAATTATTCTTTTCTCAACCTTCAGCCAGTGCAGTTCATGCGAAATTGGCGTCACACGGGTCAAATTTTAGTTTACCGGCTAGAAGTTAAACAGCCCTATTTTGAACCGACTAAAAAATTGCAATTGACTTTGTAGGAAGACCATAAAACTAGCTATTGCAGTAATCCAGACGTGTTGATATGAAAGCATGGACTACCCCATCCTTTGATGGTCTGTCTAACAAATATCTAACGCAATATAAAGTTTTTTGGCGCGAAATACGAAAGACAGATATCATTTTTGATGGGGTCCTTTATGGACAATTTGCTATCAAGAAGACCCCCAAGATTGGAAGCTGTGTACTGAAGGATATATTGACATCTCCAATTTTGGTGGAATTAATGTTTATCTTTGTCAACTGCTGCCATGTTCCAACTGGAAGCAACTGCGTCTTGCATTGATTCAACTTGCATTGCCATCCACTGACCAATCTCCGCCATGCATTCATTCATTGTCAGTCGATTTCATTTCTAGGCAAGTTTGAAGGACCGGTGACCAACATCTGAATGTCATCAGCAAAGGAAGGCATGACAAACAAATCCATATGGATTAATTATTTTAATTACGTCGGATATGTAGAGCAGCAATAGGATGGGCCCCAAGACAGATCCTTGCGGCACTCCGGATGACACCAATGCTACATCTGGCTCTGAGTTTTTAAATGCAACCTGTTGTGTACTGTCAGTGAGATAGGATCCGGACCATTTGCGAACAACACTAGAGACACCATAAGTAGAGCATAATCTAGACAGAAGAATATTAAGGTCAACACAATCAACTGCCGATGACATATCTAAAAATGATAAAACCGTTATGTTTTGATCATCTGCATCTGCAAATAAATTTGATAATATATAGCTGGTGATATAGCAGTTTCAGTGAAGTGGTATTTGCCATATCTAGACTGATGAGTTGGCATTAAATTATTTTCATCCACAGGTACTTCGGCAGACACCTCAAGACAACACGTTCCATGGTTTTTGAAAAAAAACGACAGATTATAAATTGGTCTATAGTTCAAAATCTCATCACCATCACAGCCAGTGTTTTCAGGATTTGTACAATTCTAGAATGCTTGAAATGCTCGGGTACTTTACCCAGCCGTAGACAGAGATTAATAAAACTCGTCGAGAAACAGAAGAACATATCAAGATATTTAATATATATATATATATATATATATATATATATATATATATATATATCCAATGTAAATATCTATATTAAGTTTATAACTAAACAATATACATAGACATGCATTGTATATTTATATACATATCAATTATATGTATAAATGTATACATTAACCTATTTACGATTTTTAACTAGAAATCTTTTATTATATTCCATAACTTTTATTTAAATTAGAAGCGTTATTTTGAAACAAAATTCCGAAATAAAACATGAGGTCATATAAAATTAATACAATACTAGTACAATTACTATTACTACTAGTACTACTAATATTACTAACACTGCTGTTGCTGCTGCTGCTACTACTTTTACTTCTATTAATAACTATATCAACTGTGATAATACAGATAAAGATAAAATTTATTTCGAAAAATTTTAATAATAGAGCAAAATTAAAGGCAGAGGACAGTTCCAATCTGACATTTTTTATTATAACTAGTAAGTATTATAATTATTATAAAATTTAAGAAAATATTTTTTTTTGTTATAGGCAGATAAGGAAGGTATTGACAATGTTGATGTTGGGGGTGGTTGTTATAATGATTGTTGCATACTTTGTTGACCGTTATGGAGCCATTCGACAAATGGTTAGGAATTTCTATTTTATTAGTCAACTATAACCAAATATTAATTGCTGTTTTATTTATCTAATATATTATTTATTATTATATTTATTTATTTATTTTAAAATATATTTTTAAACTTTTCTAAAATTGAAATTTCAATGGAGCATACATTTATTTCTGTGAGATGTAATACGTGGAGGTAGATAAAATTGTATAATGTCTAAAGCGTCTGAATTTGCTCTTGCAGTCTCCGGGTTCAAATGCAAGTAGATCTAGCTTACCACATAAAATTTATCGCATTGAAAAGTTGTAGAGTCTTTGCTGCTACGACTGAGAACATTCGGCGTCCAAATGAGATATTTTGAATGTTGGATGTAATGCGTGGATTCACGCAAATTCGCAGACGCTCTGTTCTTCTTCTTTAGTTCTTTTGTGTATTAACTGGAAAAGGATTGATAACAACACTAATTATAGGCGTATTTAAATAATTGTTGACGGCAAACTGTTTTACCATATTCTCTTCTTTGCATTTCAGAAATTTATCCATGAAGCGGAAAAAAATTTTGAAGAGAATTACAGAAAGACAAAGTTGAATGTGCATCTACCCCCACGGAACAAAGGTCGCCCGAATTTACGAAGTTACGATCACAGATCCTGGCCACAAACCGGCACTCCATACATAATAGACAAGCTGCTACGAAACAAAACTAACGGCTTCTTCATTGAATGTGGTGCCGCCGATGGAGAAACGCAATCCAACACACTCTTCTTCGAAGTTCTCCGGAATTGGACAGGTTTGTTGATCGAAGCTAACGACGAATCCTTCGCTACACTGTTGACAAAAAACAGAAACGTCTACGCTTATCATGGCTGTTTATCAACCAGTAAAATAGTTGCAGATTACCAGTTTGTTCCGATATTTTTGGTAGGTGGTATTGGAAAATCGTATGATAAGACACATCCGAAAAACTGGAATAAAGCCCAAACCAAAGAGTGCATACCTTTAAGTTATCTTTTCCATCATTTGAACATCACTCATGTTGACTATTTCTCTCTGGATACTGAAGGATCTGAACTGGAAATTCTGAAGACGTTAGATTTTAACGAAGTTCGCATCGATATTTTGGGAGTTGAGTATGCCATTTTTTTGGGAGACGAGGCCGAAATGGAAGAGAAACGTCAGAGATTAGTAAAATTTTTCGAAGAAACTAACCTTTATTACCGTACTAATATTTCGCACTCTCAAGATGAGTTTTTCTATAGAAAAGACTTTAACATTGGGAATTAATTTAATGTAATAAAATGCTTTTTTTATGTTGTGTTCATTGAAATATTTGAAATTATTTAATCTTAGTATTTGATCAGTTTGTGATTAAGGAAAAAATTAGTTTTTAATTTACTCTAGTCAAGTTATTTAAATTAAAAAATGAAATAAAACTTTAAATAGAAAAAAACGTTTAGTAACTTTTTCTGCGGGTTTGATTTTTTGGGCTTGTTACTTTTTATATTTTGTACGTTCTGTTCTGTCTGCTTTTTCATTCTCTTCTAAGCTCACCGATCGGCTTAATATTCAAATTAAAATCAAACTAATTAATCAATCGATCGATCGATCAACAATCAGTCAATTAATCAATTAATCAATTATAGTTTGTAAAGCGCTATTTCCGCGATGTTTCAAAGCGCTCCTCAATGAATTTTGCAAACAGATGGAGGTCCTGAGATCCGCTTTGAACTTCGTAAGGGATGAAGTAGTCAAAGAAGGAGGTAGAGAGTTCCAGAGAAAAGGGCAAGAAAAAGCAAATGCAAATTTAGCAAAAAAGTTTTTAACACGAGTTAAGAAGAAGTGAGAACAAGAAGACGATCGTAAACCTTAGCGTTTAGGTTCAATTAATATATCTGATAAGAACTTTAGAAAATAATTTAGATTGAGACTTATACATATTAATGTGCAAATTTTAAAAATTATTCTATATTTTATTGACAACCAATGCAAGAGAACAATTAAAATATAACTTTATTTACGTTTAATTTTAAATTTATTAAGTAAATATTACGTATGAAGACATTATGACGTCATAATACATGTATTCAAATCAAAATAAGCTGCTCAGCCATTCAGCCATTAGATTGGTACAAAAAATATTTGGTACCTTTTAGAACTTAATAAAAGTTTTGCCAAAGAGATTATTGTTTACAATTTAACATTAACTAATCTCGGGAACTTAAGTTTTTTAAATTTGGGTAACTAAACTTATATAATATGTGATTAATTTCAATTAAATTAATTTAAAATAAAATAAATAAATGAATCCTAACAACAAACAACAACGAACTCTTCTTCAAACTTGGAAATCATTTGGTGAAAAAGATAAAACCACCCAAGGAAACAATCTACGACTAAGAAGAGAATCAAGTTCACACCACCAAGATGATTTCAGTGATCAGGAATTACTACAAGCCATGCAAGAAAGTTTGAAAGATGAATATTTTCCTAAAACAAACCCGGATAACTTAGTCCCTACCACATCAACTGCCCATTTAAACAAACATGAAATCAGTGATGTGCGTGAAGAGGCCAATTTTGACATTGAGTGGGGAGATAGTGATCTGGATATGAATGAGATTATTGAAGAAGGAAATTCTGCCATTGAAAACGAGACTAATAACGAAATTCCTGATGAAAATATGCTCATTGAAACAAATGAAACGCTTATTTCGGCAAAATCAATTAGTGATGACAATAGACATCATCTAACTTGTCAAAAAAATTTAAATTTTACACTCAATAGCTCTAATCTAAATATAACCTGCGACATCAACAACCCAACTAACAAGCACATAATAATTCCAGCAACAAAAACAACTTCTAAAGATCAAAATAACACAAGGACCACAAATATTTGTGATGGATTTGACATATCAGCTGGTCGAACGTGGATCTACCCATCCAATCAACCGATTCGAAATTATCAGTACAACATTTCTCAGAAAGCCCTTTATAACAATACACTAGTCTGTCTACCTACCGGATTAGGTAAAACATTTGTGGCGGCTGTAGTGATGTACAATTTTTACAGATGGTACCCCGAAGGGAAAGTTATTTTCATGGCTCCGACTAAACCACTTGTTGCTCAGCAAATTGAAGCCTGCCACAACATCATGGGGATTCCCATGGAGACCACTGCCGAGATGACTGGTTAGTGTAATTAGTGTGGTTAGTCGTTAGTGTAATTAGGGTAGTTAGGGCAGGTGATGTGTTTATTGTAATTTGTTTTTTGTCATTAGTTCCAGAAGTCATAATTTAAAAGATCGATTTGGAACAGAATTTAATAATTTTCGAAACATTTTTTTCCAACAACACCACAAACAAACACAAACATGAAAACAAACAAACAAACGAACGAACGAACAACTCCACCATCACCACCACCTACAGCAAGCAACATAACAATCTTAAAAATCACTCAAACAAACAAACAAACACAGGTGCCATGCCGCCAGAAGTGCGAAAGAAATCATGGATATCAAAGAGATCTTTCTACCTAACTCCTCAAGTGATGATGAATGACCTTCAACGAGGCGTCTGCCCCGCCCTCAAGGTCAAATGTCTTGTCATTGACGAGGCTCATAAAGCTCTTGGCAACCATGCCTACTGTCAGGTCTGTTTTGATTGGTGGATATTTATAATACTGCATTTTTATTGGTCAGCGTTTACAATTTGCATTTTTATTAGTTGGTATTTAGGCATTTATGATGATGTATTATTTTATCATTTTGTTATGCTTAGGTGGTCAGAGAGTTATCCAGGTATGAGGGTGAATTTCGAATTTTGGCCCTTAGTGCTACTCCTGGGAGTGATATCAAAGTTAGTTGATTGATTGGTTGGTTGGTTGGTTGGTTGATTGGTTGGTTGATTGATTGATTGATTGATTGATTGATTGATTGATTGATTGATTGATTGATTGATTGATTGATTGATTGATTGATTGATTGATTGATTGATTGATTGATTGATTGATTGATTGATTGATTGATTGATTGATTGATTGATTGATTGATTGATTGATTGATTGATTGATTGATCAATTGATTGATTGATCGATTGACTGACTGACTAAAATGGCAGGCCGTTCAGCAAGTTCTTAACAACCTGCTTATATCACACATCGAGCTGAGAACCGAGGAAAGCTTAGACATCCAACCATACACACATCATAGAAAAATCGAAAAGGTTCATTGGTTGACGGATGGATCGATTGATTGGTTGGATGATGGGTGGATAAATTGGTCGATTGATTGATTGGCTGATGGGTGGATGAATTGATTTGGATAACAAATTCCTAAAACTTCGCAGAAGAATTTCTTGTCGGCGGATTTTATTCGTTCGGCTTTCCACAGATTTGCTTGCAAATTTTACATTTTTTAACACGCCACACGGTCACGTCTTTAGAGACTAATAAATATTTTCAGAATATAAATTTGTATGAATGGATGATTGGATGGATGAATGGATTGATGGGTGGATGGATGGATGATTGGATGGATGGATGGATGAATGGATTGATGGGTGGATGGATGGATAGATAGATTGATGGATGGATGAATGGATTGATGATTGGATGGATGGATGGATGAATGGATTGATGGGTGAATCGATGGATTGATGGGTGGATGGATGGATAGATAGATTGATGGATGGATAGATAGATTGATGGATGGATGAATGAACGGATGAGATGACTGATCGAGAGATGGATTGATTAGTAAATTGATCACTCTTTTTTTTTTCATCATTCATTCATCTACCTAATCATTCTTCCACTCATTCAAAATACGTCATCATCATCATTATTATCACAATTAGATCGTCATTGCGATGGGTGATGAGATCAACATCATCAGAGACCTATACCTTAAGGTGACGACAATGATGATGATGATTGTGGTGAAGACGACGACGATGATGATGATAATGGGTGACGATGACGATGATGATGACGACGATGATGATGTTAATTTGTTCATCTATTTTTATCCTCAAAAGATAATCAACGTCTTCATCCAAAGACTCCGGAAGTTTGGCGCCATTTACAACAAAGATATAAGACATCTTTCGAAATTTATGATCCTGAAGGCTCGGGAGATGTATCGAAAGAACACCCCATCTAATTTGACGGTATGGATTGGGGCTATGGCTTATTATTATCACTACTATTATTATTGTTATTATTATTATTATTGTTGTTGTTGTTTTTATTTTTATTGTTATTATTATTGTTATTATTGTTGTGATTGTCGTTATTACTGCTACTATTTATAGTTGTAGCTATTCATAGATTCGTCTGCCTACACTATCCAAAGAAGATATCTCAAAGAGATATCATCATTGTTATATCCAAAGAAGATATCTCAAAAAGATATCATTGTTATGTCCAAAGAAGATATCTCAAAGAGATATTATCATTGTTAATTATGTAATTAATTAATTAATAATTACAGTCATAATTTCATAATTTTACTTGTTGCAGAAATCTCAGAGAGGCCTCATAGAATGTGACTATGCAATCTGCATGAGTCTGTACCATGGCTATGAGCTTATGTATCAGCACGGTCTAAGGACACTACACGCATACATCAAGACATTTATTACTGATAATAGTAGTAGTAATAATAATAATAATTATAATGATAATAATTATAATAATAATAATATAAGTTATAATAATGACAATAAGAGCAATTTTAATGGGAGAATGAAGGCAGAGTTGATGAGCGTCAGTGAGTTCAGAAATCTGTGCGAGATTTTGAATGATAATTATGAACCTATAAAGTTGGTTGTTGTTGTTGTTGATGACGTTGTTGTTGTTGTTGTTGTTGTAGTTGTTGTTGTAGTTGTTGTAGTTGTTGTTGATGTTGTTTTTTTGTTGATGTCGTTTCCGTTTAAATTTTTCACCCTAGATACGCCAATCCGAATCTTACCCAACAAACACAACAACAACAAAAACAACAAATAACATCATCATCATCATCAACAACAACAACAACAACAACGTCATCATCGCAAAAAATTGTCCCGCCGCTGAAATATGGCCATCCAAAGTTGAAAAAACTCGAAGAAATCATCATAGGACATTTTACTAAATTTCAAAATGGTTAATTTTTTTAATTTTATTCTTTATTCACTCATTCATTCATCCTTTCAATCGTTCCTCCGTTTATTCATTATTACCATCATTCATTCATTCATTCATTCACTCGCTCGCTCGCTCACTCATTAATTCAGACGGCCAGGAGACACGCGCCATGATATTTTCATCATACAGGGACAGTGTCAACGAAATAACCCAGCTGCTAAATAAACTCCGCCCACTCGTCAAACCCATGAGCCTGATTGGTCACTCGAGTTCCGTGGGCGGAGCTAAAGGTTTTAATCAGAAAGACCAACTTAAGGTGCTAATTTGAGTCTTATTATTGATCTTTTTTTTTATTTATTTTATCATAATATTTATTTATTAATTTGTTTGTTTATTTGTTTGTTTGTTGCGAATGAGTCTTGCTTCTTACCTCAGAGAGTATGTTTGTTGCATGTTGTTGCTGCTATTCAGCTCTGACCTGCTTGAATTCAAAGATATCTTCCCCGAACTTGGAAGACCATTGTACGTACATGATGCATTGATTCGCGCGTTTTCACTCATTCACTCATTTATTCATTCTTTCATTCATTCACTCACTTATTTACTCATTCATTCACTCATTTACTCACTCACTCACTCACTCACTCACTCACTCACTCACTCACTCATTCATTCATTCATTCATTCACTTACTTCATCCATGCAGGTGATGAAGAGGTTCCGTGAAGGGGGTTACAACACACTGGTGGCCACGTGTATCGGCGAGGAGGGACTGGACATTGGGGAGGTCGATCTTATTGTTTGCTTTGATGCCCACAAAAGTCCTATCAGGTCTTTGTTTCTCCGTTTCTTTGTCAGTTTCGTCAATCAATCAATCAATCAATCAAGCATTCAGTCAATCATTCATTCAATTGTTCATCTATTTATTTATTTATTCATTCATCCATTTTTTGTTTAATTGTATATTCATTCATTTTTTTGTTTATTTATTCATTCAATCCTTCATTCAATCATTCATTTATCTATCAATTCATTAATTCACTCATTCATCCATCTATTCATTCATTCATTCATTAGTATCATTCATTTATTCACTCAATCATTCATTCATTTACTCAGATTAGTTCAGCGCATGGGTAGAACGGGAAGAAAGAGAGAAGGGAGAGTGGTTATGTTGGTAACAGAAGGCAAAGAGGAACAAGTGTGTGTGTGTGTGTGTGTGTTTCTGTTTGTTTGTGGTGTATGAGTGAGTTTTTGTGTGTGTTTGTTTGGGTATTTATGTGTGTGTGTGTGTGTGTGTTACAGTGTATGCATGTGTGTTTATTTGTGTGTGTGTGTGTAGATGTTTGCATGTGTGTCTGTATGTGTGTGTGTGTATATGTGTATGCGGATATCCCTTGAGTAAACAAATTTCTAAAAATAGTACCATTATTTCATTATTCACCATGCATACATGCATACACGCACACACACGCACTTAAAGACACGCTTACACATACATGCACTTGAAAACACACACACACACACATACACCCTCATAAAGACACACACACATACATCCACATAAAGACACACACACACACACACACACACACACACACACGCAGGTATATAACACTAGCCAATCCCACAAAAACAACATCGTAAGACTGATACAACAGCAACAAAGTAATGGCAACAACAATCGCAACAACAACAACAACAACAAACTTCAACTGTACAACAACAATCCCCTCATGGTACCCCAGTACCTTAATCCAACTTGCGAAAAAATACACATACAAGTACTATTATACAACAACAACAACAGTAATAATAATAACGTTGGTCAGAAGATCAAAAATGGCAAAAGATCGTCGTCGTCGAAGTTTAAAAATAAACCGGAACAGGAAATAGTGACGGATGAGTTCTTTGATTTGTTTAAAAGGGAATTTTATGACGAAAATAGCGGGAATTGTCTGTACTCTTTGCCGCCAATATCGTCTGGGATGGAATTTTTGAAATTTGGCGCTGTTGACGATCACGTGAGTCTTTTTGTTTGTTCTTTGTTTATATAATGGTTTATAATTGTCTATGCTATTGTTCATTTTTATTGTGTCTAATTTTGTTGTTTATATTATTGTTTACGTTACGCTCATTGTTATTTAATGTATTTCAGCGACAAATTAATTTTAATAAATTCATTCCACAATTGGTAATTTTTTTCATTTTCCGTGCAGAAACCAATAGACCAATCAGAGTCGAGATACAATTTATCATTGACCAATCATAGTTGGCTACAGAACGAGTTGCAGGAAGTAGGCGTGGTCAGCCATTCATTGGAGAGCAAAAATTTTGTTGACGTCATGGAGTTTATTGGTGTCATAAGTGGGTTGTTGTTGTTGATGTTGATGTTGTTGATGTTTTTGATGTTGTTGTTGTTGATGTTGTTGATGTTGATGTTGTTGGAATGTTTACGATTTTAAGTCTATGTCTCTATATCTATGTTTGTTATTATGTTTCATTTATAAACAAATAACAAAAACCATATAGCTAGCGTAAACACACAAACATAGATAGACATATAAGCATAGTCATTAAAAACAAAGACTTAAAAAACATTAAGAAATTTAAATACGTCACACTTCAGAATTCATGCAAAGCGTGCCCTACCAATCAGAGCTTCTGCTTCACCTCGACCGCGATGACGTCATAACAAAGAATGTAAATAACAACAATAATAATAACAACAACAAAAATAACAACAACAACAAAATTAACAATTGTAGTAGTAAAAATAACATTAAGCAAGGTAATAAAAAAACGAAATGTAAAAATACTGCCCGTACTAATAGAGCTGCTACTACTACTACCGCTACTACTACTACTACTACTAATAGTAATAATAATAATAATAATAACGTTAATAGTAAGTCAAAGATCCAACCGGCAAAAACCGAAAATATTTTAAACTCCAGAAGTGCAGTTAAGCATTGCCTCAAGCGAAAGTATATCGATAGTGATGATGATGATGATGATGATGATAATAATAATAATAATAAAGAGAGTAGCAAAAATAATAATAATAATACATACAAGAAGATGAAATATGACGGTTATGGTGGTAAGGATGACGCTTACGATAAAAATAATAATAGTAATTATAATAATAATTATAATATAAATAATAATAATATTGAGAAATTATATAGAAATGCCGGTAAGATAGATGTCAATTATGACGATTTTAACCTCGGCGGTGACTCTGTTACTGCTACTGCTACTTCCTCTTTCGCTGCTACTACTACTGCTACTACTACTACTACTACTGCTACTACTACTACTACTACTGCTACTACTACTACTAGTGCTACTACTACTACTGCTACTACTACTACTACTAATAGTACTAATGCTACTAGTAACAGTATTTATGATGGTAATGATGATGGTAGTAGTGGTTATGATGATTATGACGAAATGAAGTTAAGAGTTCCGACACCACCATCATCATCTGAGTTACTCAGTCTAATGGATGAACTTTCTGAAGAGCTAAAAGATTGCTATAGTAAAAATTATGATAATAATTTTTATAATAATAATAAAAATATTAATAATGTTTGTACTACTGCTACTACTACTACTACTTCTACTACTACTACAACTACTACTTCTACAACTACAAATAATAATAATAGTAACAATAGTAATAGTAACATTAGTAGTAGTAATTATAATAATCATGAAAAGCTCGTTCCTGATTGGTCAGACGATTCTGACATCATCATGCCAAGCCCGCCTTCGTTGAAAAGCCAGCCAATCAAAAGAGCGATAAGTCTAAATCTGCAAAAATCTATCAATAGAGCTAGCAGTTTTACTAATATGATCAAAAATACTAGCTATATCAATACTACTTTCATTAATACTACTATAACTACCGATTTGGCTACTACTACTACTGCTGCTGCTGCTGCTGCTACTACTACTACTGCTGCTGCTTCTACTACTGCTGCTACTACTATAAAGAATTATTCCAAGGAAGATCATAGTAATTTTGATAACGGTGATAATATTGATAATAATGTTGAGAGTATTGATAATTCGTTTGAAATTTCAGTGAGTGAGAACGATGATGATGATGAGGATGATGATGATGATGACGATGAAATAAATAATAATAATAATAATATAGCAATTACTACTACTACTACAACAACTAATTCCTCTTATGCCACTAAGGATGGTGATGATGATGATGGTGGTGATGGTGATGATGATGATGGTTATGTAGATCGTCGTCATAATATTAATAATTACCATAACATTGGCGGGGATTATGATCATGATGATAATATCGGTGGTGGTGATGATGATGATGCTAAATTTACTACTACTACTAATAATAATGATGATGATGATGATGACGGTAGTGATGATGATGATGATGTGGCTCGTAAAGAATCTGGAGTTAATTTTCAAAATTTCTTGGACGATTTTGCCCTTAGCTTCTTTTCAGACGACGACGACAACAATAATAACAATAATATAAACAATAATAATAACAATAATAATAATAACATTGCAACCGGCGTTAACAACAGCAATAGTTACGATGACAACAACAACAGCAACCATAACATCAACATAAGTTACAACAACACGAATAACTCATTCCAACAACATCAACAACTACAACATCAACAACTACAACATCAACAACTACAACAACTGCAACATCAACAACTGCAATCAGAGCCGTCTCAACTTACGTTCACACAGGCTCTCCATCTACTAAACACATCTGACGCAACACAACTATCAACAAACTATACTACCACTACTACTACTAACACCACCACTACTACTACCACTACTACTACTACTACTACCATTACTACTATCACCACTACTAATACTACCACTACTACTAACAATAATAATAATAATAATCAGTTTAATACTCCATGTTTTGATTTGGACTTCGACTTCGATAGATGGTCAAGTAACGACGACAATGATGATGATGATGATGTTAATAATAATAATAATAATAGTAATAATAATAATAATAATGACGATGATGACGATGACGTCATCCAGTGTTCATTTCCTCCGCAAAAATGCCTCAGAGATAGACTGATGGAAAAAGCTGAGAAACGCGAATCGACTAATAATAATAATAATTATGATAATAATATTAATAATAGTAATATTGTTTATGATAATAATAATTGTAATAATAACAATAATAATAATAACAACAACAACAATAAGAAAGTGTTCACCAAAGTAAAACCTCTTACAGTATTCCGTATAGGTCCTGAATTTAATACTGTTACTACTGCTGCTACTACTACTGCTGCTACTGCTACAACTACTTCTACTTCTAATAATAGTACTAATTACAATAGGCTTTTTTCAACACCGAATAGAAGACAAGGACAGAAAAGTAAAGTACTTTTTTATGTTTGTGTGCGTGTGTGTGCGTGTGCGCGTGTGTGTGTGTGCGTGCATATGTGTGTGTGTGTCTGTTTGTCTGTGTCTTTTTTTTTAATTTAGCCCGCGTGTTTGTCTGTATGTCTGTCTATGTTGAATTCAGTGCTAAGGAAATACAAGTAGAGTGAATTTTTTCAAATGCATGTGTGTGTGTGTGTGTGTCTATGTGTCTCTATGTGTGTACTAGTAGTGTAGTAGTTTTTGGAAAGAGAGCGTAGTCTTAATTAGAAATTATGATTAGACTTAATAATTATGCTTACACAAATTATAGTTTATTATGATATTATTTTGTATACGTTCGTACAGACGCTATTGAATCTTGTTCAACGCCAATTGAATCGCCCATATTTTACAACCGAGCCAGGTCCAAATATGTTAGTCTATATTTATGATGGCTGTCTGTTTAATTTTTTTTTTAATTACGGCGGTTTAGATAAGATATTATTAATTATAATTAATTAATTAATGATAATATTAATAATAATATAATAATAATATAATAATTAACATTGATAAAATTTATAATTTAGAAAAAAGCGATATTATCAGATAGTGAAAACGACTCTCCGATTGCCGCCAAATCTCGAAAGACTTTGGCGCCAAATCTGATTTTGGCGCCAAATCTTTTGCGCCATTTCAATAGCGGTTTGATGCTTTATTGTTATTATTATTATTATTATTGCTTTTATTATGGATTCTTTGTACTCTTTCTTAAGCTCATTCGTCTATTTCCTGCTTGAAACTAATTCATCATTTGTATTTCAAGATGACGACGACGACGATGATGATTTTCAGATTGCGAAAAAACCACCACCACCACAACAACAACAGCAATCTAAAAATAGCCTGCCTAAAAAATCCCTGAAATTTCCAGAGAAAAAGAAAGAGAAGCATAGACAAAAAAGTAATAAGTGGAAAAACCCGGCGGCTAATTTTATCGATCTGGAAGCTGAAGAATCCGGAAGTGATATTTCCAATGATGATGATGATGACGACGAAGACGGTAACGATGATTATGGTAATGATAGTTTTATCGATAACGAAAGTCACATGACTTCCAAGTTTTTAGGTAAAGTTTTTTTTGCTTATGTGGTTTTTAGTAGAAGTATTGTAGTAGTGGTAGTAGTAGTGGTAGTAGTAGCAATAGTAGTAGTAGTAGTAGTAGTAGTAGTAGTAGTAGTAATAGTAGTAATAGTGGTAGTTGTTATTATTATTTATTATTCCTTTTTCTTTGTTATTGTAATAACATTTTTCTTCCTTCAGACTCTGTAGACCAGCAGGCCTTTTACATGCAACTCAACAACAACAACAACAGCTACAACAACAACAACAGCTACAACAACAACAACAATTTCTTTCAGTATCGAAGCAAATACCGTCTAAAATACCCCGGCACGCAAGACATCCAGCTTAACGTGTACTCCCAAATACCTGGTGATGGTGATGATGATGATGACGAGGAGGAAGATCATTATCAGGAAGATAGTTTCTGCGTCATAGAATCAGGTTGATGATGATGATGATGATGATGACGTTGTTGCGTAGAAGTTCATGATGATGATGATGATGATGCCGATGATGATATTAATGACAGTTACTACTACTTTACTACTACTATTACTTTACTACTACTACTACTACTACTAATACTACTACTACTACTACTACTACTACTACTACTACTAATGTACTTATGCCACTGCTGTTGCTACTATTACTACTACCGCCACCAAATTACTACTGTTACTACCAATTATAATAATATCAATAATAATAATGAGGAGGATTACTTTTACTCAGATGAAGAAGATGCAGAAGCCGATTCTTCTACTACTACTACTAAGAATAATAATGATGATAATGATGACATAGATGATGATGACGATGTCATTTTCACTCAGTTACTAAATAGTAACTGTAATACTACTGCTACAACTACTAAAGCTACTACTACTACTAATACTACTAATAATAATAACAATAATAAAAGAAAGTCAGGTAGTAATAATAATAGCAATGATAATAAATCTAAGAAAAGAAGAAAAAGATTAATGATTAACGATAGTAGTACTTCGTTTAACACTGACGATGATGACGATGATTTTGTTACTACCACTACTACTACTACTACTGCTGCTGCTGCTACTACTACTGCTGTTGCTACTACTACTATTACTGCTGCTGCTGCTGCTACTTCTACTGTTACTACTACTAATAATAATCTTTCGGTGTCATCATCGCCATCTTTCACCAGCCCTAGTCTCATTTCAAAGAAAAAATATATTAATAATAGTAATAATAATAATAGTAATAATTATATTAACACAAATAATACTAAAAACTGCTCAATTTATGACAACTATAGCAATACTAGCTGCAGAAATAATAAAATTTATACAGCTACTACAGCTACTGCTACGACTACTACTACCGCTACTATTTCTGCTGCTACTACTGCTACTACTTCTACTTCTACTACTTCTGCTGCTGCTTTTATTACTTCTATTATTACAAATAATAGTATTGACAGTGTTAACAATTGTGAAAGGCCTCAAACTTCGATAAACATTCTCATTAGTTCCCAGCAGATGTCTTCAGCTCAGGTTAGTTTTAATGTCATTCATATATACATTCATTCATACATACATACATGCATGAATGCATACATATGTACATACATACACACACATATACATACGTACATACATACACACACATACATACATACACACATACATACACACACACACACATACATACACACATAGGCTCTACTATCAGAGTTGAGATTTACGCATAAGATGAATGTCGTTATTAAATCAATTTCGGATTGCGATTACATAGTCAGTAACAGGATTGGCTTGTGTAGAATACACGCTTCAGGTATTTATATATTTTAAAAAATGTTTGCCTATTTGTATTTTCGTTTGTTAGTATGTTCGTGTGTTTTTATTTATGTATCAGTATATGTGTGTGTGTATGTGTGTATATATGTGTTCTCGTACTTTGACGATGGCATACTAATTTAATAATACTTTTCACAAATTACAATTAAAATTTAGATTTCTCATCGGTGAATCATAAACACAGACTAACTGATCGCCTACATCGGCTGGCAAGCTGCTACGAAAGACCCTGTCTAATCATCGAAAAAGATAGTGATAAGAACACTGGCCTCAGTTTTTCATTGTTAGTTGGTTACTTCCGGACATTTTTTATTTTCTTTATATTTATTATTATTGCGATGTTACAGGATTGGCTGTTGGCTTTTTCGGTGTTGGCTTTGGTATCGGCGATACATTTGATACTGCTGAGTATCAAATTTGATATCGTCCTGGCTATTAATTATTCTTAATTGATGTTGATAGCTCTTTAAATCACTCTAGTTATATCAGTTGATTGTTAATTTATGTTAAGGTAAGTAAGTACTAATTTTAATTAATTAATTAATTAGTTATACTTATTAGGTTACGAAACCAACATTCCAATACTTTGATGGCCTCACTGATTAAATCCAACATCAGGGTTCTATATTCAGATTCCCAAGGTAATTATTATTATTATTCATAATAATAATATTATTATATTATAATCATATTTTTTTTAAATTATAGTCGAGTCAGCGTGTATAATTAGTGACCTGGCCGTCGTCGAAAAAACCACAAAAAACGACATAAAAGTCAGTGAATCGGACTTCACCGCCATTTCCGATGTTAGCTTTATTATTATTAATCATTATTTATTATTATAATCATAATTATCATTTTTCAATTCATTAAATTAGGAATACTTGAAGTTCTACACCTCCTTGCCTAATATATCATACATTAGTGCCGTTAATTTGACCATTGGCTTCAAAACCGTCAACCATTTTTTGAACAGGTCTGCGCAAAAAAACAAAATTATGTGGTGTTTTTTGAATTTATTCATCTATATTCTTTCCATTTTATTCAAAAATGACGTTAATTTATTTATTTATGATCAATTTAATTTAATTTTGTTCCATTTCACAATGCAGTACCGTAGAAGAAATTGAGAAATCAGGAAAATTAACAAAGTTAAAGTCCAGTGAAATTTATAATTACATAAGACTTCGAGCCAGTCAGGGAATGATTTCGTTTAATTCCAAAAATAAAAGATTGTCTCGATAAATTATTTTAACAATTATAAAATAATAATGAAATAATATCATAATAATATTATTATATTTTGTGTTATAATAAATTTTATTAATTCCAAATCAGGAATAAAAAGATTTTTGTCTGCAAAAAATATAAATACATATAGTTTTTATACTGTGGTGAATGTTGTCTGTGATTGAAAAAGACTACATGATGGCTAGATATATATATATATATATATATATATATATATATATATATATAGATATATATATATATATATATATATATATATATATACACACATTCAACAAATTTGTTACATACACATATAAATATATTTATATTATAATATATACATGCAAAAAATTGTTATATGTACATCAAAATGATTTTTTAAATGTTATAATTTGTAAAGAAATACATGTAAAACTAGACAAATAACTGCTATAAAATCAGAATTATTATTTTTAATTTAATATATTTTTACTATCATTTCATTATTTTTATTCATTCCTTTGATGGGTTCTTCATTTGTTCATATCTCGTTCACTTTTAAGCATTTTTGTCAGCTCTATTTGGTCTTGTAACATTTTTGTATTTTGTCGCCTTTTCATTTCTTGTCTTTGGAGATCTAGCAGAACACCTTCTCTCATACTCTGGGAGGAAAACATTTTTAGTTTATTTTTCTGAAATTTAAACTAAAAATTAAAATAAAAGTATAATACAAACAATAAACTATTATAAAGATAAAGACAAAATAAAAGAATCTAAAATTCTAAATTTACCAATCGATCGGCTTGTTGCTTGAGATGTACATAGGCCACCATACCACAAGTAAACGTCACTGAGATACCTAATGTTATTTTGGCAACCAAAGACATTATTTTTGGATATTGCTACTTTTTAGTCTCTATCAGTCTGTCTTGTGTTTGATTAATAGTTGCGAATACTAAGTTTATGATGCTTATCCTTAAAATTTTTTTATATGATGACTAAGTTTTGTTTAGAAGACTTACAACTAATTTTTCGAAGGGTTATTTAGATGAAAGTTGGATGAAAATAAAAAATTTCAAACATTTAAGTTGTTTATTTTGATCAAATGAATGTTATAATTGTCTATTTACACAAATTTTGAGAAAATTTGTGAACTTTATTTTCAGTTGTCGTACTTAAACAGGCGATATAGAAGGTTAAAGAAAAGTGAATCTAAGTTTTGTTGGCATAGATACGGTAGTGTGATAAAATTGTTTTAAGCCATGCATTGCTTGCATAAATATATATATATATATTATATATGGTAATAACTTTTTTATATTTTACTTAAAAAAATTTACACAACACACACGGCACGTGTTTAAACAAACACATTGCTGCACTTGCATAGGATAGGTGGGGATCTCTTTGCAATTGAACCCATTCACTGCATCATAGTATCCGTAGGCGCTTTCACCAATCAATCAATCAATCAATCAATCAACCAATCAATCAATTAGCTTATAAAGCGCTATTTCCGCGATGTTCAACAGCGCTCCTCAATGAATTTTGAAAACAGATGGGTCTTGAGATCCGCTCTGAACTTCGCAAGTGATGGAGAAGTAGTCGAAGAAGTAGGTAGAGAGTTCCTGAGAAAAGAACCAGAAATAGCAAAAGCAGATTTGGCAAAAGAGTGTTTAAGAAAAAGCGAGAAGAAGAAGACGATCGTAAACCGAGGCGTTTAGGTTCAATTAATATATCTGATAAATACTTAGGAAATAATTTAGATTGAGACTTATACATGAACGTGCAAATTTTAAAAATTATTCTATATTTTATAGGTAGCCAGTGCAAGAGAACAAGATATGGAGATATATGAGAAAAGAAAGGGGCACGAGCAACTAGACGAACAATGCATCATGATCTTCTGTTTCTTCCTTTGATCAATGATTCCTGGAATACAAGAATATATACATAAATATTAAAATATATATTTTTCAAGCATTGGGTTCAGACAAAATGATCGACAAATGCCATTAAAAAAATAACATTACAGACAATTTGCTAGCAGAACAAATGCTTATAAAATATTCACGCGCGCTCCATAAATAATTAATGCAACTTCTTGCGTGCTTTTGCTAATATAAATCACGAAATTGTCCACGGAACACATAATACATTGATGATGATTCGATACACTCGTGACCAAAATTTTGGCAAAAAAAACGAGCGGCCGATGTTACTCAATTTGTAAGATTACTATACACTCAAATAATTCAATTTACATTAAGGCATTTGTAAAAATTTCCGCATTCTGCCCAGTTGTGTATGCACGGAACGTTGAATAACGGATATGTTGAATATGTCGACGGAGCAATGCTCGAGATCAGTGAAATTTTCGTTCCGGGTAGATAGAGGTCATCGAATTTGACCGTGATCATTGAACTTTGACCTTTGGAACAGACAATTTCACAGATGTATTGTTGCAGAGCTATTTTTTACTCGTTTAAGCACTAATATTTTTCCAAATTATGATGATGTAAACTGAAGGATAACACAGATATTTCATTTGAAATATTATTAGATATGTTATTTAGCTAAACATTTTTTACCAGTGTAACACAGATATCAATAAAAGTTCATATAAATTTACATAAAGGTGCATATAAGTACTTGTATCTGATGTCAGATCAACTATTTTCACCCATAAGTACATAAGTACTTGTATGAAGTACTTGTATGAAGTACTTTTATGTAATAAAAAGTACTTTTACATTATTAATAAGCTTGTCCGCTTCCTAGGTTACCGATAAAAACACATAGCAACCGTAGCGTTAATCTAAACGCTATAAATGTTTCTGAAAGGCATTACATGAGTGCATGTATAAATTACATTTGGACTGATATTAAAAAATGTTTGTATAAATGCATATGCATGTATGTGTGTGTGTGTATATGTATGTGTAGGTGTTTGTGTGTGTAAGTCTATGAGTCTATGAATGGTATTGAGCGCTAGAATATTTTTTCTGGTCAAAAATGACGTCATCTTTGTGTTGATATTGTCGATTCGTTAAAAGGTGTTGGTTTAGTGAATGAATGGATGAGTGTATGTCTGTATACAAAAAATATTATATAATTTAATTCTTATTTATTTAATATTCAATCGTCTAATATTCAATTCTTTAGTTTATTCAAAAATAGTTTAAAGTAAAGTAACCCGTATTAAAACTTAAAGTATGTAAATAACTTATTTGTTATTTATTTGTCGTTAGATGGATTTTAAAATTTAATTTAGTTTTGGCGAATAATATCCTAATAAATAAATTACTAACTAACTCAAACTAACATAAAATGATCAAATAGAATAAATATTAAATAATAATGAATAAATTATAAATTTAATAAAATATTACATAGATATGCTGTAATAAAATTAGAACAAAGTATGTCAGCCGAAATACTCGAAGGTGTCGCGAAATCGAAATCGGCCGAAATCGATTCGAGATCAAGTCTCGATACTTCTGGAAATACCAAAACTACTTCGTCATCGGAGGATGATTTACGAGACGAAGCCGATACTCAAGAAGCTGAAGATAATGATTTGGAATTCCCCTCGAAGGAAACTTTTAGTCACGTAAAGGAAGTCTCGTTTGATTATCTGAATAAGGTCAAAGTTGAAGGTTAGACCTCGGTTGTCTGATTGACACATTAACTAGTGAGAAATCAATCAATTTAACATTCTTTCAATAATGACACGAAAAGAAATGATAGAAATATCGCTAACAATTATTACCATTTACAACCGTCTGTAATAAATGACCCAGACATTGACTCGGTGAGGCACTGCAAGAGAGAGCTCTTGCAGAGGTTCAACAAGTTAAAGGGCAGGACAGACGTAGCCACCTATGAGGCCTCCAACATCCACATCAACCACACCAAGGACCACCTCACCAACAAAATTACCGTAGTGGAATATGAATTTCAACTGAAAGGTTGGTGGAAAAAAAATTAGTGGAAGAAGTGTTTTTACGTTAGTTTGCAGGGTTGTCATCCAAGTATTATCGGAGATATTGTGTTACCGATCGATACTTGTTCGGTGTTGGCTTTGGCATCAGCAAAACTTTTGCTGATGCCAAGTACCGAACTCGATATCGTCGATACTTTTCGAACAGAAAAAAATGGATACTCGATTCCCCGATACTGTTGACCATCAAGAGGCTTTATAAATATTATTATTATTTATTTGTATACACAACACATAAAGATACGAACAAACACACAAACACACAAGAACCAGATTTCAACGTACCGCCACGTCTGCGAGCCGTCTGGCTGAACCAGGAATTAAACATGAAACTTCACCGCACGTTGAGATATCAAAAGACTGGAGTCCACAATCAGATTGCTGTTTCTCAGCTGGTGGTTAGGAGGGGAGAGCCTTTTTATTTGGACCTCTCCTTCGATCAACCTTTCATCGCCACCAAGCACAGTCTCACCATCATTCTTCAATTCGGTTTGTCGTTCTTTATTTTCCTGATTTTGTAACATTGAATTAGATTTTTCAACGTTGTTTTGTTGCGACATGTTGTCTTTGCGATGAAAGTATTTATAGATAAAATTATTTCAAATGAAATATAAATTAATAAATTCATGGATTCATTCACAAAACATCAAAAAAAATTAAATTCCTCTCTACAGGTCAAACAAACGTCTGCAGCTCGTCGAGCATGGTGTGCCTGCGGGTGAACGAAGGTTTGAAGCCGAACACCTGGAGTGCCGGCCTGCCACTCAAGTCGGTCCACTTTATCCAACTCAAGAGAAGCCGCACCAAGAGCGATTTGGAGGGCCAAGAATCGGTCGCCACTAAAAAATATGGTAGTGTAGCTGTCCGAGCCAATATGCTCAACGAGAATAAAATCCAAATACAGATAAATTCGCCATCTAGCGCAATTATCGGGAAATGCATGTTGACCTTTGACACGGCCTTGTTGCCCCCAAAACAGGGCGACGATGCGAAATTGAAATTCACAGACCAAAGTTCTCAAAGTGCGGCAGGTGATAATTCAGCTGCTGCAGCAACTGCGACAGCTGCGACAGCTAGAAGTCGGAAGTTTGATGACGAGATTATCATAATGAGGCATTTTTTCTCATCGCCAATTTATTTGATTTGTAACCCCTGGAAAAAAGGTGGTTTTTCGGTGAATTCATTCATTTTATGCTTGTTCAATCGTTCATTCATTCATTCGTTTGTCTGTTCGTTTGTTCATTCATTCATTCATTCGTTCGCAATTCATTTGTTTGTTCATCCGTTTAATTCATTATTCGTTTGATAATTCATTCATTTATTAATCCACTAACTTCCCGCATAGTTTTTCGCTCATTCATTCATACCATTATATAAAATAATTTGTATCGTCATAATTATAGCCAAATGTTCCGATGTGAATTGTAATGTTTGGTCCAACTGATACTTAGCACCATGACAATAAAACAGAGGACCAGACGTATATGAGTGAGCCAACGGACATAGAAGAGTACGTTGAAAATGACAACGGCTTCATATACCTCGGTACCAAGAACCAGATACAAAAAATCAACTGGTGTTTCTCACAGGTTTGTTATTAGTTTTAATGTTGTTGTTGTTGCTCTGAATGAAAGAATGGATAAGGGAATGAATCCATCCATCCATCCATACATTTATACATCCATCCATTCATCTATCCATTCATTCATTCGTTCCTTTCTTCATTCATTCATTCATCCATTCATCCATCCATTCATCCATTCATTCATTCATTCATTCATTCATTCATTCATTCATTCATTCATTCATTCATTCATTCATTCATTCATCCATTCATCCATTCATCCATCCATCCATCCATCCATCCACCCATCCATCCATCCATCCATGCATTATTATTAGAGAACTTCCATCCATCCATCCATACATCCATCCATCCATTCATTCATTCATTCCTTTGTTCATTCATTCATTCATTCATTCATTCAGTACGAGAATGACGTCCTAACGACAGCCTATCACCTGATGGACCTAGCTTGCCTGGCGTACGATGCTCGTAACGATATGGCTAAAATCGTCAGAGCTATCTGTAGCAATGTCGGTGATTGTTATATTATTATTATTATCAATTATTATTATTATTATTATCGATTATTATTATTATTATCGATTATTATTATTATTATCGATTATTATTATAATTATCGATTATTATTATTATTATTGATTATTATTATTATCAATTATTATTGTTGTTGTTGCTTTTGTTAGTTTTATTATTTATGTTATTATTAATGTTCTCTCTTCCCCCCCCCCCTCTCTCTCTCTCTCTCTCTCTCTCCCTCTCAGATAACACGATATCAACAATGATAACGACCACTGAGAAAATAGCAGCAGTATCAATCAACCACACACCCATACACACACCAGCACTCACACACACACACAAACACACCACACACACACAAACTCACACCACACACAAACACACATACACACACCAGCACTAACACACACTCACACATACACATATAGATACACACAAAACAGAAACTCTCGTCACTTAGGTTTTCCATAAGAGGTGCTATACAAATTATCAAACTCCCTCTCCCTCCCTCTCTCTCTCTCTCTCTCTCTCTCTCTCTCTCTCTCTCGACACGCACGCACACACGCACACACACAGATAACGTCATGCGAAGACAGTGGAGTCATCTCCGGGAACTGGTCCTGCTCGCATGCTCCATACACTGCTCCCACTCAATGGCTGGGCACTCTTCCCATAGTCCGGGATTTCCTGATGAGCAAGGAGCCGACCAAATACGGGCACTGCTACGTATTCGCCGCTCTAGCTACTTCACGTACGTTATAACAATAATAATAATAATAATTATAATATATATAATAATAATAATGATAATAATAATAATAATTTGAATAATTATAAAGTGATAATGATAATTTCATTTCAATTCAATCCAATAAGGTGTTTATTCAGGGAGAACACAACAATATTATAATAATTCCACTAGTAATAATAATAATAATAATAATAATAATAAATAATAAATTACAATAATAATAATCATAATAATAATAACAATAATAATAATAAAGTCTGCAGAAGCCTAGGAATCCCGTGTCGTTGCGTCACTAGCTACGCTTCGGCACACGATTGCGACGGAATTAATAAAGTTAACCTACACTGGGGCATACACGGAGAGCCCATTGACGTATTGAATACCTTAAATTGCTGGTACTCTTGTATTGTTGTTATTATTGTTGTTGTTGTTATTATTATTGTTATCATTATTGTTGTTATTATCGCTATCGTTGTTGTTGTTGTCGTTATTGTTGCTGTTGTAATTGTTAAAGGTTGAAGGTTTTTCTCTCTCTCTCTTTTGCATTAGCTTCAGAGGTTTCAACGACAAACACTCACAGCGTATATGAATACGCATGCAAACCCCGCATCGTACACATTGCGTATGATAGGCGGGGATCTCTTTGTATTCTAACCCAGTCATTACAATAGCATTGTTTTTGTTACTGTTGCTGTTGTTACTGTTGTTGTAATTGTTGTTGTTGTTGTTGTTCTAGGACCTTCCACGTTTGGTGTGAGGCCTATTTGAAAAGACCTGAGTTGTTACTAAACTCTTATAATGGCTGGCAGGCATTCGATCCGACACCTCAGCTAACATCCTTCGGTTACTATAGTATACTATAGTTTAATTATAGTTTAATTATAGTTTATTATAGTTTATTATAGTTTATTATAGCTTATTATTGATAATAGTAAAAATAATTATTATAATTATTGTTTTTTTATTGTTGTTGTTGTTTTTGTTGTTTTACCGCTGCTGCTGCTAATACCATTACTACTACTGCTGCCACTGCTACTACTACTACTACTACTACTAATACTACTACTACTACTACTACTACTACTAATAATAATAATAATAATAATACTACTACTACTACTACTACTACTACCACTACTACTACTACCACCACTACCACTACTACTACTAATAATAATAATAATAATACTTCGTAGTCAACGTGTTTTTATTTTTTCGACAATTTTTTCACCAATTCGTCTTTCATTTTTCCAACCCGTTTAACCCCACCCCCACCCCCGCCCCTAATTTAAACTTTCGAATAGGGATCAGTTGCGCGGGTCCCTGTCCAGTTGAGGCCATCAGGCTGGC